ACCACTCGGTCCCTCACCATGGGTGACTTTGAATTCTAACCCCCAGGACCCATTCTCTGGGTCCTTGGTTATTTGTTGGTGTGGTCGCGGAATCAGACAGGGCAACTGTTAGCAAGCCACTGCCCTTCTGTGCCTCAGTCTGCTCATCTCTATGACCTCTGGGGACCTTTAGACGCCAGCACCTGCTCCCATGGCGTGCCCACTGCACTGTGCAAGCTGCTGCTGCTGCTCTTAGCTGCCAGCACCTGGTGGGGGGGGGCAGCAGATAAACCAAGGGCACCTCCCAAGCTGCCATCAGAGACTAGGGCAATTTAGGTAGGAGGTGGGGCTTTGTTCCTGGTACGTATGGGGCCTGGGTCCAGGAGCAAAATCCTCAGCTGCTGGAGTCCCTTACAATAAATAGCAGGGCACTGGCAATGACCTCTACATACTCTCCTGTACACTTTCAGTCATCTCTGACGACTTACGGCAGCCCTACAATGTCAATGCTATGTAAACAGCTGTTACATCGCAGTCTTCAGGGACCAGTGACATGGAAAAATCTGCCTATGTTCAGTACAGACACAACGCTTTCCTGAATAGTTCCTATTTGCAATTGGTTGAACCCACAAGAGTGCTACAATAGCCCTATGGGGACGTCTCTGTCCTTGTGGGTAAAATCAGTTAACAGTTTCAAAGTGTCCAGCTCTGCAACTCATCAGCTTAGGCAAATCGCCTCTCCGAGCCTCAGTTTACCCACCTGTAAAGCAGGAATGCCTACACTAAAGGAGAGCTGTGGGGACGAAATCCAACAATGACTGATGGGAGCAGGCAAGGTTACTAGTGTCTCACAGGTGATTAACAAGGGGCAGGAGCGCTGTAGAACTTAAGAGGCAGTGCCGCTGCAGGTGCCCGGTGCCGACAAGGATGTCCCCAGGAGAGCACGAAGCACAGGCAGCTGCTCAGGCCGTTTAAAGCCCGTCGTGCACAGCAGGCTAAGCTGCCGCCTGCAGGGCTGCCACCCCGTATCAGGGCACCGGTTAGAGTCTCAGCTGCTCTGCTTCCGATCCAGCTCCCTGGGAAAGCAGTGAAGGGTGGCCTAAGTGCATGGGCCCCTCCCACGTGGGAGGCCCACATGGAGCTCTAGGCTCCTGGCTTCAGCCTGGACCAGCTCTGGCTGTTGTGGACATTTGGGAAGTGACCAGTGGATAGAAGATCCATGTTCATTCTCTCTCTCTCTCTCTCTCTCTCTTAGAATGAATAAACAAATCTTTAAAAGAAAATAAAGGCCGCTCAATCACTCTTCAAGAGCCAGCCACACGGTCACTCACAGCAGAGAGAGGTGTGCTGCCAAGGGCCCGCGGGTGCCCGCACAGCCTCAGGTTAGTGGGCTGAGGAGAAGGGGGGCAGGCTCGGGGCGAGGGCGGCGCCCCCTACTCAGTGAAGGGCACTGGGAGGAGGTGCTGCACTGGGACCAGAGGCTTCAGACCCCCAGTCCACCTCCGCCACTGCCTGGCCCGGCCCAGACTCGGTCCCTGCTCCTGTCTAAAGGGGAGGCTCATCCAAGATGCTCTCCAGTTGCGAGCCCCAGGTCTGCGACACAGCAGTGCAGCCTACACCACCTCGCTGGGGAGTGCAGAGTCAAAGCCTGCAGGAGCCTCAGCACCAGGCCCGGCAGAGCGGACACTCACCAGGTGACGGTCTGGGGGGGGCTCTGTCATCCCCCAAAAGCTCTCCAGAGCAACCCGGGCCTTTGCCCCCAGGGCAAACCCAAGCTCTCCAGGAAAGTCCCCGGGAGTCAGATGTTCTTCCCCCTCTTCCAGTTAGAAAGTGTCACTGTCCTCCGGCCTGACGTGGTGACGACTCCTGAGGTTGCACAGCCCCTGACCACGTGAGCTGTGAGGGCACACAGGCAGGAAACACCCCCAAACTGGGAGTCCAGTGACACCTCCCAGGAGGCAGCAGGCGATGGCTCAAGTGTTTTGGTCCCTGTCCCCATGTGTGAGTCCACAACAGAGTTCCAGGCTCCAGGCTTCTGCCTTGCTCAGTCCTGGCTGTTGCAGACATTTGGGAACTGAAGCAGAGGATGGAAGCTCGCTCTCTCTCTCTCTCTCTTTCTCTCTCTCTCTGTGGGGGGGGCAGGGGGCCTCTGTGTGCGTGTTTCTGTTTCTCTCTCTCCTGTGCTCTGCCTTTCAAATAAATAACAGGGCCCGTGGTGTGGTGCAGCCAGTTAAGCCACCACCTGTGACACTGGTATTCCATACGAGCTCCAGTTCAAGTCCCAGCTGCTCCACTTCTGATCCAGCTCCCCGATAATGCACCTGGGAAAGCAGAGATGGCCCAAGTGCTTGGGCACCTGCCACTCACATGGGAGACCCAGATGGAGTTCCAAGCTCCTGGTTTTAGCCTGCTTAGCCCTAGCTGTTGTGGCCATTTGGGGAGTGAACCAGAGGATGCAAGATCTCTCTGTGTGTCTCTTCCTCTCTCTAATTCTGCCTTTCAAATAACTAAATCTTTAAAAATAAATAAAATAATTAACAAAAAGAGATGGGCGCTGTAAGGGGTGATCAGACAATGAGGGGCTAACGTAGCTGTGGTGGGCAGGCGTTGGTTAGAGGGGAGGGGAGATGGGTTTGGCCCCCTCATGCTCTCTCCCTAGCTTCCTCTCTTGCTCTGCCACCTTCCAGTGTGAGACGACACAGCACTTGCCAGATGCCAGTCCCTCAATCTCGGACTCGCCAGCGTCTAGAACTGTCTGAACCGAATCAGCGTGCTTCCCAAGTGACCCAGTCCCAGGTGCTCGGTTACGGAGGCTCCACACGGGCCATGGCCAGTGCCGACCGTGTGCTCTGGGGCTGCGCTCACGGCGGCGCTGCCCAGGCTGTCACGCACAGAATCGCTCGCATTCTTGCTCATGCACAGATCCTGGGGCAGGGCCTGGGGATCTGCATTTCCAACAAAGCCCCAGGGCTGCTGAAGCTGCTGGCCGCCAGTCACCCTGGGGGTAGCAAGGGCTTAGAGACCACCCCCACCCCCCCTTTTTTCTTTTACAAAGAAAAGAAAATGCATTATCCTCTGAAGGAGAAGTCCCAGGGTAGGGTAACCTTGTGCTTGGCACCCCTTGCAGACGGGGACTGCGCTAAATCAATTTTTCCCAGCAAACCTGCACAGCACTAACTGCTGTGGGCTGCAGGAAGCCCCGGCTCCCTACTCCCCCATGGTCTCTGGCCACCGCCTTGCATCAGATGGTCATGAGACACAAATTCCAGGATTCCTGAGACGGGACCCTGATACCTGGCGACCACAGTCCTAGAGCTAGATGTCACCTCTGAGCCCCTCTCCTCTGTCCCCGGTCTGTTGGCCACTCTGTTGTCCATTCCAGAATGTTCCTGGGCCCAACCCTCACTCCTCTCCCCACTGCCCTCACCAAGCCTGTGATTCTCACGCCTGTCCAGGTGAAATCCGCCCTGCTGGACTACAAGGTGCCTCCGTGGGCCCAGAGCCCTCCCTGGCCTCCTGCCTGGCTCTTTGCCGCCTCTGTCCCGCCCTTCCTCCTCCTAGTTGCAAGTCGGCCGAAGTTGCCCTGTGCACGGTGTGGGGCCTGCTGGGGACCTCACTTCCAGTTCAGTGTTCCTGCTCCCTTCCGGGCCATCCGGACAAACCTCAGAGATCTCTGTGCCAAAGCCTCTCCCCAGCTCCGGCCTCTGCAAAGCCACATATGGAGGACGGGGGCACCCAGGCAGAGCGGAGGGGCTGGGCAGGCGCTCCAGAGGCAGCCTGTGTGGGGCTCCCTGGGAGACGCCCCTCCCTCAAAGATACACCTGTGTCCCCAAAGCTGCGGATGTGACTTTAATTGGAAAAGGGTCATTGCAGATGTCGTCAAGCTAAGGATCGAGGGGAGACTGCCCTGGAAAGCGTGTCCTGACAGGAAAGGGACAAGAAGACTGCCATGGGAGGAGGAGAGTGGGGGCGGGGAGAAGCAGCCACAGGCCTGGAGCGGGCAGAGGCTGAAGGGGCACAGAGCATCTCCCCACCCCCCTTTACCTCCCAGCCCCCACCCTAGAGCCTTCAGAGGGAGCTGGTCCTAAGGCACCTTGGTTTCCAACTTGTGGCCTCCACTGTTTCTGCTGCTGTAACCCGTGCAGCCACGGGAAACTGACAGCCGCTTACGGAGCAATCTCGGGGAGGTGTCTAACCTCTCTGTGCCCACTGGGGTGCTAAGATCAACATTAATTCCTAGACTGTTTACCAAGTTGGCTATGCATCAGGTGCCAGGGGTCAGGCTCTGGAAGCAAACACGGTCAGACCCAGAGCCCACTGCTGGCAGGGAAGTCGGCTGCTGACCCAAGACTCGGGCAGCAGGTGCACAGCTGTCATCGCAGTTGGCATGAGCAGTGGGCTGGGAAGGCTTCCCAGGAGGGCCAGGGAAAGGGAGCAGGTGAGTGGGCGTGGCCAGGACAGGCCACATGCAGATGCCACGGTGCAGAGGGCACAGTGCACTCCAGGGCGCCACAAGGGCCGGGGGCTGGAGCCATAGTGAAGGGCACGGCCGTATTGAGAGATGAGCCCGGGAGGGGACAGGGCCCTCGAGAGCCACGTCAGAGGCACTGGTCCTTCTCCTGAGCAGTGCAGGAGCCACTGGCGGGTACTGAGCAGGGCGGCAGTGTGGTCAGATGGCCCCCGGAAAGATCGTTCATGTGGCCAGGTGGACGGCAAAGCACTGGCCTGAGTGGCGGCAGGAAGACCCGTGAGCGGTGTGGGTGACAGTGGCTGGGACAGGGTGGTGAGCGGAGGTGTAGGAGGGGCGGAGAAGAGCCCCACGGCACGTGCCGCCAGGGCCACTGGGAGGAGGAAGCCCGGCGTGGCGCTTGGCGCGAATGAAGCGCTCCCCAGCTCCCTGGCAACAGCGCGCTCCCTCTCCATCCTTGGCCAAAAGGCTATTGGGGACTGGGCCACAGCTCCCCTGGCCCCGGGGTCAAAGGGAACGCGCACAACTGCCAGAGCTCAGAAGATTGACTTACCATCCCGGAGGAAGAAGCTCAGGAGGTCCTGGGGGCGGGAGAAACAGGCGTCAGTGACGGGGGCAGGCAAGCAGCCCACTCACGGGGCGGTCCTCCCACTCCCACTCCCACTCCCACTCCCACTCCCACTCCCACCCCATGGCAGAGCACCTGCCCCCACGCTCCAAGAGCGAGCCAGGGGATGAGCAAGCAAACCCGTGAGAGCTTCAGGCAGTGGAATAAAGGAGGTGAGGGGCTGCTTGGTTTTCCTTTTTCCCAGCCACAGCTCAGGCCACAGCTTCTGCTGCTTTCATGGCACACAGAGCAGGTGAGTGACAGGTCCCAGGGAACAAGCCAAGCTGCGGCACCGGAGCGCCAAGGTTCAGAGCCTGGCTCAGCCACCTACCAGCTGTGTGACTGCGGGCAAGTCACTGACCCTCTCTGTGCCTCCCTGCCTCCACTGTAACACAAGGGTGATCATCCCTGATCCGAGACTCTGCAATCTGCAACGCTCCCAAACCTGACACTCTCAGAGCCAACCAGATGCCCCAGGTGGAAATTCCAGACGGTGAAACAGTTTCATGCACCAAATGGTGACAAACATTGCACACCGGGGCTGGTGTCCTGGCACGGTGGGCTAAGTCTCAACCTGAGATGCCAGTATCATATCGTGCTGGCTGGAGTCACGGCTGTTCCACTTCTGATCCAGCTCCTTGCTAATGTGCCTAGGAAGCCAGCAGATGACCCAAGTGCTTGGGCCCCTGCACCCACGTGGGAGACCCAGATGGAGTTCCAGGCTTCAGCCTGGCCCAGTCCTGGCCATTGTGGCCCTTTGGGGAGTGAAGGTCTCTCTCTTTTTCTACCTCTCTCTCTGTTGTTCTGCCTTTCAAATACATAAAATAAATCTTTTAAAAAATACTATCTTCAGGCTATGAGTGTAAGATGTATTCAAGACAGAAATGAATTCTGTGTGTAGACTTGGTTCCTATTTCCAAGAGACCTCACTATGCAAATGCAAATATTTCAAAATCCAAAAAAAACCCAAATCTGAAACTAACTCTCCTGGTCTCCAGCATCTTGGATAAGTGTGGGGAGCAACTCGGACTAGACTAAGTTACTGGAATTAAGACTTATTCTATGCATCTGCTTTCCCACAATATGGCGCTGAGAAGGGAAACAGCTTCTACACAGCTGCCTCCAGTTCAACCAATAAACAGCAGGACCTGCTCCTGATTGGAGGAGAGCAGCGTACTCGGCGTGTGGGTAGCAGAGTTGGGATTGGTGGAAGAGGACTATAAAGGAGGAGAGAGACGGCATGCACTAGGAACATCTAAGGGAACAGCTAAGAGGAACACCTGTGCAGCCCCCGAGAGAGCCGGCCGGCGGTGTGCCGCTCCCCCGCGGAAGTGGGGAATGTGGCAGGGGGAACCGCCCTTCCACGGAGGTGGAAGGGACGGTAGCCAACCCGGGAAGAACCAGCAGCAAACCTGGGGAGGGCTGAGCAGACAAAAGAACAGCGCAGGGTCCTGTGTCGTTCCTCCACGAAGAGGGGGAGTGACAGATAAGGAATGCTCAACCCTTACTCCTGGCTCTTAAGGCTGCTTTGTACACGACCCGAGCTCATCTCTGCGCAGGTCCAAGCACACAGTAAGCACCACAGGAGTGCTCAGTGCAGGGTGAACACTCAGTGATCATCACCGTCGGCTGTGATCACGTGACACCACGGCGACACGCTATCTTGCAACGTCCCCGCTCTGCGAGAAGTGCTTTTCAGCCCAATTTTGAACAGAAGCGGCTTGTACTACTTCCCCAGCAGCTGCCACTCAAGTGTCAGGTGTACCTGGGTGATCAGAGACGGGTCGCCCTTCAGGACGGGGTCCTTCGACAAGGTCTGGGCAAACATGTCTGCCCCTTCGCCTCCCAGGCCGCTGGCAAAGGCAGTCATGGTGGGCAGGACGGCTTCGGACAACTCCAGCCACTTCACCAGGCTGGCTACGAACTCCGTGCAGAAGGAGCTGAAAGACAGATACAGCTGAGATCCGGAAGCTGCCTGGACTGTGCTGAGGACAAGGCCGTGGGAGGCTCAGACACGCCTGGGCCTGGGCATGGGCAGTCCAGGGCACACGTGGCCCTTGGCGGCCGGGACCCCTGGAACACACAGAAGTTTGTTTGGCTCCTTCCCTTACCATGACTTTTCCCAAGGAGGCTGATGAGCCACAGGGAGGTGGGCAAGGAGCTGTGCTGACCACCGGCCCCGGCTCAGGCTCTGCTGGGGCTCCGGAGGTTCACGGCCGGGCGTGACTGTACCATCTAGTGCAGTGAGCAGAACAAAGAGGGAGCCGCCCAAGGCACCTGTCGATGTAAAAAGGCGCCCCAAGCAAGGCAGAGGGCTGCTCTGTGAAGTCACTTAGGAGGTGCTTTCTAGAAAAACAGGGCCCACTGTGCAGGGGGATAGCCGTGGAGAGAGTCCCCCCCAACCATGTGTGTTGCCACAGGGGTCTCCGTCACCCAGGGCCACATTTGAGTGGAGCCCCACGGGAGCCCGGGGGGAGAGGAGGGCTGCTCTGGGGGAGCCGAGACACAGCCAGGAGTGCTGGCCCCTGCGGGCTGGGCAGAGTCCACTCAGGCTCCTGCTGCGGAGCCAGGCGGGAGCTGGGCGGGGGCAGAGGGAATGTGGAACAGGGGAGGAAAGTGGGAGAGGACCACAGCCAGGGAGAAGGCTGGCAGCTGGAAGGCCCACCCAGCTCCAGCGCTGGGGTGGGGCCCCCTCGAGCCACACTGCCCTGGGACCCAGGCTCTGCCCCCTGCGGGGACTGTGGTAGTAGCAGGGGTAGACTGAGGCCTCGCAGGGACGAGCAGAACTTGGTGGTCAGGGCAGGGAGGAGTGACCTCAGGAACCCCCACCATGCAGCCCACCCATCCCATCCCCCAGACCTGCCGCCTGCCTGCCGAGTGGAGACCAGAGCCGTGGACAGGAGTGCTGAAGAGCTCCTGGCTCCAAACCCCTTTATGCTCAGTGCCTGGCGAGCTGTCCCAAGAGACCGATACCTGCGGGAGGGAAGGGGGCTGGCAGGCCGGGTGGCGGGAGCTGCCGAGCTGTGGTGTGGACTCAAGGAAGCCTCAGCTGGCCCAGCAGGGAGTTCTGAAGATGGCGAGAGGGCCGGGTCTCTATTGACTTATTTTTAAAGATTTATTTATTAACTTGAAAGGCAGAGTTACACACACACACACATACACACACACACAGATTGTCCCTCTGCTGGTTCACTCCCCAGATGTCTGCAACAGCCAGGGCTGGGCCAGGTCAAAGCCAGGAACCAGAAGCTTCATCTGGGCCTCCCACATGGGTGGTGGGAGCCTAAGTTCTTGGGCCATCTTCAGCTGCCTTTCCAGGTCCTTAGCAGGAAGCTGTATTAGAAACGGAGCAGGGGCTGGTGTGGCGGCAAAGTAAGTTAGGCCACCACCTGCAACACCAGCACCCCACATTAGTGCCAGTTCAATCCTGGCTGCTCCACTTCCTATCCAGCTCCCTGCTAATGTGCCTGGGAAAGCAGCGAAAGTGGCCCAAGTGCTTAGGCTCCTGGTACCCACATGGGAGACTGGGATGAAACTCTTGCTCCTGGCTTCAGCCTGGCCCAGCCCCGGCTGCTGTGTATATTTAGGGAATGAATCAGCATATGCATGTCTCTCTGTATGTCTCTCCCACTCTGTTTTTATAACTCTGCCTTTCAAATAAATAAAATCTTTACCAAAAAAAAAAAAAAAAAAAAGTGGAGCAGCTGGGACTTGAACCGGTGGCACCCTGATATAGGATGTTGGCTTGAGCCACTGTGCCACAACACCTGGCCTGGGTCAGCTCTTTATACTCCCATCATCAGCCGCTCACTGGATGTGGGTAGTCAGGAAGGGGACAGAACCTCAGGCTGGGCGGCTGTCTGTCGCCAAGGCAGATGCGCAGTGGGCCAGACAGCTCAGAGCCATGCTGGCCACCCACCTTCACGCTGGGCAAGTACCCTGAGCTTTCTACACCTCGGCGTCCCGATGTGCAAAACCAGCCAAGGAGACCAACTCCGGGGCCGGAAGAAGATCATGCAGAGAAGCGCCCAGAGCAGGCCTTGCCGTGCAGCAGGTGCCTGAAGGCCAGCACTGCTATTTTCATGTACAAGGTGACCCGGGGGCCATGGGGACCAGGGTCAAGAGTCAGACTGGGGGCCGGCACTGTGGTGTGGCAGGTAAAGCCCCCACCTGCAACACTGGCATCCCATGTGGGTGCGGGTTTATGTCCCAGCTGCTCCACTTCTGATCCAGCTCCCTGCTAATACCTGGGAAAGCAGCTGAAAATGGTCCAAGTGCTTGGGCCCCTGCACCCGCATGGGAGACCGGAAGAAGCTCCTGGCTGCTGGCTTCAGCCTCGCCTAGCCCCAGCCATTGCAGCAAACTGGGAAGTGAACCAGTGGATGGAAGATCTCTCTCTCTGTGTCTCTCCCTCTCTCTCTGTAACTATGTCCTTCAAATTAATAAAATCAGAGTGAGACCGACGTCCAAGCACCTGGCTACATCCTGGCTCCCCAGGAAGCTGCTCTGTGTCCTCACCCCACCTCTCGGAGCTCCACCTCCCTCTGCTGTAAATGCAGATCACAGGTTAGTGCGGAGATTAAACGGCACGGTCACAGGGACTGGCATCGGCAACCGCCACTAATGTTAATAACTACTGCCGCACGATCAGTGTAATCACACCAGGGTGACTCCCTGAGGTGACTCGGGGGCGGCACGTGGGCGAGTGGGCGTGCACGGGGGCAGGGGATGGCCAGGTGAGTCCAACATTACAAGGGGCCAATTCACATGTGGCAAGGGCTCAGGGCCCAGGGCAGCAGCGGGGCTGGCCCTGCTGGCCATCGGAAAGGCTTGCCCGTGGAGAGGCATCTCACAACAGCATACAGGGGTCCAGAGCATGGACTCAGGTTCAAATGGCAGCTCCTCCAGTAGCCGTGTGACCCTGGACGGATTCTCGCACCTCTCCCTGGACCTGTTTGTTTCCCTGTGAAGCAGGGATGATGACGGTGACGAAATCTGTTTGCCAGGGTTGTTGGAAGGATTATCCAAGTTAATGTTTGTCCTGTGCATTTACCAAAACGTGGCAGATCCGAGGCACCATCGGTCTCTCCTGCGGCCAGGTGAGTGAATGAACAGGCCCGCAGAGTGCCCGTGCAGCACTTTGTCAGAGAATGAGTAGCAGCTGGGGGCAGCCCGGCCACGGAAGTGCTGCGCACGTGGTGGCGCTCAGGTGGAAATTCATGGAAATCAAAAGCCATGATGGCACCCGTTACCTGTGTGCCGAGTGCTTCAAACGCACTGGCTTGTTCATTTCCCCATGCAGCCCACCAGATGGGAAGGTATCGTTTTATCCCCTCCTAGAGGGAAGTCTATCCAGGTCAAGGTCAGAGTGGGGCCGGCACTGGGGCACAGCGGGTGAGGCTGCCGCCTGCAGCACCAGCAACCCGTAGGAAAGCGTGGTTTGCGTCCTGGCTGCTCCGCTTCTGATCCAGCTCCCTGCTGGTGCCCTCAGAGAGCAGCAGCAGATGGCCCAAGTGTGTGGGCCCCTGCACCCGCATGGGACACCCAGATGGAGTTCCAGGCTCCTGGCTACGGCCTGGCCCAGCCCCAGCTTCTGCCTGTGGTCATTTGTGGAGTGAACCAGTGGATGGGAAATCTCTCTCTCCGTCTCTCCCTCTCTCTTAGTTGCTCTGCCTTTCAAATAAGCAAATAAATAGATCTTTTTTTTAAAAAAATGCATTGAACTCACCGCCCCTACCACACCTCATGGCTCAGCCACACCCCACACTGCACATCCGTGGTGCCCCCACTTAGTCACGGACGACTGGGAGCTGTGCTCACGGCTGCCCCCTGGCATCACAAGAGTGGACGGGTCACATGGCGCTCCCCAGGAAAACACCAACATTCAAAACCTGCAGTGTGGTGCCGACTGGATGCGGTGGCTTCTGCGCCACTGCACTACAGGGAACTGCGGGGACACTCTGCACCTGACACGGGGCGGGGCCCGCAGGACGAAGGGCAGTAGCTCACTTCCAGGAGTGCTTGTGCACAGAGCTCTTCCCTGGGTGTGCACCTGTTAACCAGACAGGCTTATCAGGGCAGGCGAAGCTTCGCAGGTACGCACAGGTATGGGCTGTGCAGGAAGCAGGGCCCTGGCTTGCTTGGGAAAGGAGATCTGAGGTATTTCTTCTCTCCAGACAGAGTGAGGCCTCCTTGCTACTTACGAGAACATGGACACCCGCCTGGGAAGGACTGTGTGCGAGGCTCTGCAGGGCCCGACACCTGCCCTGCGCACAGCTGCTCTGAGGGCACCGTGGACAATGCCGCTGCCTCTCTGCAGCGGGCACGCCCCAGCTCTGCTCCACCCCGCTCCCTTGCTGCTGAGGCCTGGGCGTGTGACCAGATCCAGCCAAGCACACAAAAGGAAGGCATCGCGGGGTATTCTGGGAAAGATGAGTGAGGGGCTGGAGGAGGACCCCTGCCCTGTGAAGGTGTGATGTGTGGAGCTGCAGCAGCTCTTCTGTGCTCAGCAGGGGAGGGCCAAGCAAAGCGTAGGGAAGCCAACTGAAAGGCCTACTGACGCACTACATCAACTCTGTGACTACCGACCTTGGGCTTTTTGTTAAGTGAGAAAAACAAATCTGCTGTTTAAATCCCTTTTAGACCTGGGCGCTGCTACTTGCAGCCGAGGACACCTTGACTAACCGTGTGAGCTCCTGTGTACCAGCCTCACTTTCTGGATGAGGGAGCTGGGGCAGAGGAAGTAGGACAGAGCTGGCAGGCCACCACCGCTGTGGGCACGTGCGCCGTGCTGTGGCTTCCCTACGCCACCTCACAGAGCAGTTAAATAACCTGAGGTGGCGGGGTTAGGATTTGAACCCAGATCTGAATCCAGAGGTCATGAATCTCTTTCTAATAAAGGCAGTGGTTATTCATCGTGTCTTGTTACAATTTCTTGTTT